GGTTACTAACTAACTGCACTACATCATCTATTTTATGATGAAATGGAGGTAGGAAGCCATAATTTACAAGTTTATTCTAGACATGTTAATATATATGACAGGTCAGGTTTAAAAATTAATTAATATGATATGGAATTATACTTCAAAATAGGGAATGTTATATTTTATGAAGAATTCTCGTTCTAATGACCAAGGACATTTGGTGAGATTTATCCTACATAGATGGAAAGAAACTCACATTTTAGATGTTTAAGAGTAGATTCAAGGGATGAGGGTTTTTTTTTAATCAATTTTATATATATATATATATATATATATATATATATATATATATATATATATATACACACACACACACACACACACACACACACACACACACACACACACACTGTGGGTGTCTGTGGGTGTGTCACACAGTGAACACACACACTCATTAAAGCAGGTATTGTATACAGACATTATACTATAGCTTTCTGAAAAATTATTTCTAGTCTCCAGGATTACTTTAGCGTCAAGTAATGTGGTAAAACATTGTTCCAAAACTCGTGTATGTTTTGAAATCCATTCACGGCTTGTTTCAGTGGTCTTTTTTCTTTAATGTTTTTTATTTTGCTGCTTGTATTTTGATTTTTCCTTTTATTATTTTCTTTATGTTTTTGATCTTTGGGGCTTTTGCCTACTTTTTCTTCCTTTCCACACTCAACAATTTCTTTCTCCTCTTCTTTTTCCTCCTCCTCCTCTTCTTTGTCTTCCAACTCCTCATTCTCGTCCTCTTCTTCCTCCTCCTCCTCTTCTTCTTCCTCCTCCTCTTTTTTCTCTTCCTCCTCCTCCTCCTCTTTGTCCTCCAACTCCTCATTCTTGTCCTCTTCTTCTTTCTCCTCCTTCTCTTCTTCTTTCTCCTCCTCCTCACCTTCTTTTTCCTCTTCTTTCTCCTCTTCTTCTTCTTCTTTCTCCTCCTCCTCCCCCTCCTTCTCACTTTGTTCTTCTTTCCCTTCGTAAATTTTTGGGTCATTTCCTACTTCATTGTCTCCCTCTTCCTCATCTTCTTTCTCTTCTCCGCATCCCACACTTCCTTCATCTACTTCTCTTTCAATTTCTCCCTCTTGCTTTTCTTGTCCTTCTTCCTCTCTTTCAGTCTCTTCCTGATCCTGTTCTTCAAGTTCCTCTTCCTTTGTGCTGTTCTTCATCACCATAGTTTCACCACTTTCCTCTCCATCTTCAAATTCCTCATAATTTTGCTGATTGTCCTTTTCTACTTCTCCCTCTTTTCTATTTTCTTTCTCATCTTCCACATCTTCATTATCCTTTTCCTTCTCTATTTTTTTCATTTTGTCCTTAATTTGGTCATTCTTGATGTTAGGTTTTTTCCCCTTTTCTGGCTCATATATGTCTCTTTCCTCTAACTCTTGCAGTTTATTATCTGAGTCATCTTTCTTTTGTCTTATCTGAAAGTTATCCTCTTCCTCCAGATTCTGCTCATTTTCTGTTTCAGGTTGTAATTCATCATTTTCGCTTTCTCCTTCATCACATTTGATGTCTATCATAACATCCACCATGCATTCACCTGCTTCATTTTCAACTTCCTGTTCTTCAGATTTTTCTTCGCTGTCACTGTCTTTTTCTTGTGCGCCATCTTTTCTTTCAGTCTCTTCCACACTTACTTCATCTTCTTTATTGCCTTGGTCATTTTCTGGATTTTCTTCCGGGGTATCCTTCTCTGATGTATCATCCATATTTTTCTTTTCATTTTGCATATTGTTAACATTTAAATTTCTCTTTTCTTTATAATCAGCTTGATTGCTTTCCCATTTATTATTTCTGTCTTCTATACGTGTTTCAGTAGTTGTCACATTTTCAAAATTAAATTGGTTTATCTCAAAAATATACATTGCTGACTTCTTTATCATTTCCTGACTTAAGAAAGATGGCATTCTTACTACTAATTGTTCTGTAATTCTTTCTTTGTGATTATATTCTTTTTGTTTTTCACTATTGTTATTACCTTGCATAATATATTGATCAGGTTTAGCTTCTACTTTATTTTTCTGATGATCTTCATGTTGTTTTTCCAGCTGATCGTTACTAGAATGGCTGCACAGCACTTCTTGCTGAGTTGGCCCAGAATTTATTTTGTCAATATTTTTCTTTTTTGTCACTTTAAATGCTTCTTTTACAGTTTGTTGAGTATCATAATTTAATGCAATAATAGAAAGCTCTTCAGATTTATTTCCTGAACACTTTTTATAAGGCTTAACTTTCTGCACAAAAGCATTGTAGCTATTTTTTTTAGTACAGGAATCTTTTTCAAAACTTTTTGAAGCCAAAGACTCCAAATGAGAAGATGATTTTCCAGACTCTAAGCTGTCCTGAAACTGGGTACGATCGGATTTTTTCAACCCACCCTTACCATAAATTTTCAGTTTCATATTCTTACTTTTCTTCTAATCCATGTGAGAAGCAAGAAAAAAAGAAAAAAAAGAAGAGAATTAAGAACAAAGTAAGGGCAAATAAAAAGGCACCAGAAGATGAAAATTGCAGACAATAAAAGAATGAAGAACAGACTTAAATATAGCAAAAGCAAAAAATTAAAACAGTAACACTAACATCTAAAAAAGCACGAACCACTTTAGACACCCTTACACTCTTTTCTCTGCTTCAGGTTTCTATGTTTTATACAATAATAGGCTTTTGCATGTTAACAGAATCAACATAACAGGGTAAATCAAGTTATAGAAATTATAATGGAATGAAGCATTTGACCTGTCCTGGAGGCAAGATAAGTGCTTTTGTGCAAACAGAAATATATTTTCACCAAATACCTTTAGTTTTATCATTATAATCCTCATGTCATATTACAGATGGTCCTCAATTAATAACCAAAATTGGGACTGGAAGCTCAGCTGTTGAGCAAAATGGTTGTTAAACAAGTCGCCCACCTGACTGCTTCATGAATGACTGCAAACTGGCACACTTGAACTTCTGAGTCATTAAATGGAGTTAAAACAGTTGCCTGCTAAGCTCAGCTCTCATCCGTACACAGAAGGAAATTGCTCTGGTGGGCTGCCAGCTGGGATGTTCAGGACATGAGTTCCATTTCTCACCCCTGCTAGAGTTCGTCTCCCCTCCATGGATGGAAGAGAATTGTTTTGGTAGGCAGTCCACCAGATCTCTTCCATGCACAGAGGAGAAACAAACTCCTGCAGGGTGGAGAAACCATTCAGATACTGAAGATCCTAGCTCTCTCCCTACAGCCCACTGCAGAAGTTTATCTCCCTTCTTATGTGGAGAACTCCTTTGAAGGGCTGTCAAAATGGAGCTCAGGTCTTTAGGATTTGACTTCTGTTTCTGCAACCTAACAGTGGAAGTATGGAAGTCCCCTTGGTAGTAGCCCTTTTGCCTTCAGAACTGCTTGCCAGCATGGAGCCTCATTTTCCATAGCAGGTAGCAGCAGCTTGCAACCTTTCCTGTCTGCAGGATGTGTGTTTGTGTGGGTATATATATGATATTTTATGATAGCCAGAAGTACTTTATGGGCTGTGAAGCACTTTTTAATCATAATTTGTAATAGCTGTTAAAACAAACAGTCAAAACTGGAGAACTACTTGTAAGTATGTTCCACACTTCTTTAAATAGTTTTCATTAATCTACAAAATAGTTGTAAAATTCAGGATTATAAAACATTCCAATCTGCTTGCTTATTTTTCAGATTACATTTACATTAACATGATACAATTGCCAATTCTGATTTTCAGTTTTAAAATATACTTGTCTTATTTGTCAGCTGCATTGCTCTAGCATGCATATATACAGTTTCTGCACAAAAGAACTTTATTTTATTGCATGTAAAGAATGCAAATATTTTTATTGAATGTAAAGCATGTAAATTCAGCAAGGTGGCTTCCAATAGTGGGAGAATTCCATGTTTGTAAGATAATCAATTAGATTACGACACTGATCTAGGATTTAGGAGTTAAGATACATTAAAAAGTTATTAGTGTGTATACTCTTCTCCCCATCCTCTGCCCTATACAAAGGTACTTTCCATTATGAAACTAAGTAAAATAATACTTTTGAGAACAAGGCCATTTAAAGTTTTAACAGTACTAACTGGAGACATAGCATGTAAACCCTTTCATTGACGTATCAGGGTTCTCTGACTTGAGGTTTTTTTCCGTAAATGCATGCAAATCGCATTCTATCTCTTCTAGCAACTGACTTGTGTTAACCTCTTGGTTGAGGGTAAGCAAGAAAGTAATTTTCAGCTGATAAAACAATGCAAAGGAATATCGCAATATTTGTTTTCTCACATTATTGCCAAGTTATATAATCTTAAATTATTATTGTAATTTCTGGTAAGCAGGAAAAAATTAAAAAATATACTATCATGTCCTATAATATACATTTTCCAAAAAAGAACTGTTTTTAACATTTCAACTGATTAGGCAGGTGGTTCAAACTGCTTTTTGAAAATAAAGATTTACATAATCTGAAGGTTTTAATGCAGAAAAAATATTCTGAGGCCACTCAAAATTGTGCATAATTTGTTTTGTATAACAATTATTCATTTCAAACCTGTGTAATCAAGGAACACAACTTTGGGGTTGGTAGGATCCCTCTGCTGAAATCCTATCTCCTGTAAATCCATCATATGGATAAAAATATTGCTTACACATACAGGGAGGAAAAAGATAGTCATTTAAAGCATTTTTTGCACACAGGGAAGAATGGATTAGTTCTCTTATTTGTCAAAGAAGATGGGAAACCATCACTCTCTACCTTTCTCCTGAACACTTGATAAAAGATGGGAAAGATGGAGAAAGGCAAGATGGAGAGAGGGATCATGGGAAAGATGGATTGCACCTGAAATGTCATGGGCAAGTTGTTAAAACTTTTGAGAGTGCATTCAACCTGCAGGCCAGTAGTTCCCCAGGTTTCATTACTGGTAAAAAAAGCATGAAAAGTAAACAACATGAATTATATAAACAATTCAACAATACCTTTTGTTTTTGAACTGGTGCTAATTCTACCAATTGGTCATTTGGATTTAGTCTCATCACATGGGTCTGAAAAACATTTTTAACATGGGTCTGAATTTTTTTTTTATCTCAGTAGTAATAAAAACAAGCAATTAATGTTTTCAGACACGAAAACTGCTTTTTTACTGGAACATCTGAGATCAGTTTCTGAACAATCAGAAAATAAATAGAATTAGAGAAATGCAGGTAAAAGTTCCACTAAATGCCAGACTATTTTTGTTTTAGTTCAGTCCTGGTTATTTTGACTGATTGGTTTACCTCCACAAAATATAATTTTTCTAAGAGTGATTGGAAACCAGGATAATTTTTTAAATTTATTATGTAACCTCACATATCTACAATTCCCCTACCCCTGCATATAAATTTAATAAATTATTATTAAAACTGGAAAATATGAGTAGTCTATGCCTCTCAAACAAGGCCTAATTTTTCTGTAGCTTTGAAAGGTATATCACTCATTGCTTTCCTAGTTCTAAATATTAAATGTACTTAGTTCCTGAAATACATTTTTAACAAAATCTTATCTAAGAAAATTCTGAATTTTAAGCAGTAAATTTTCACATCTCTTTTTAAAAATATTTTTCCGGTATAAAATAAACATTGTTACCAATCTAGGTCAGATACCAGCTATATTTTTAGTTCAGATGTACATATCTTGAATTTTGTAACTATAATTATCAGGCACAATCAGTTACGAAGTCTTTTGAATTACCGTATTTATCGGCGTATAACACGCACAGGCGTATAACACGCATCTTCATTTTAAGAGGGAAATTTCAGGAAAAAAAATTAAAACAAATTCTGCCTGCCTGCCTTAGTTTCTGGTTGTTTGGGAGCAGCTTCGGCTGAGAATAATAACTATTCGCCTCTTTTACTCAGCCGAAGCTGTTCCGATTCAACCATTAACGAAGGCAGGCAGGCAGGCAGAACGGAGCACTGCGGGCGGGCGGGCGGGCGGACGGGGTGGGGGAGAAACGGGCGCTTCAGGGAAGCTGCGGCGACAGGAAAAGCCCCCCCCCCGCTTCTTTGAAGCAGTTTCTTCCTGTGCTGGTGGAGGAGCGAGAGAGCGACTGAGAGAGCTGACCCAGAGAGAAGGACAGGCTTCGGTTGCTTCCTCCCTCCCCTTCTTTCATTTGTGTCCTTGATCCCCGATCCCAGCAGCATTCACCGAAGGCTTCTTAACATTATATCGGCGTATAACACGCATACATCATTTGCCCCCTATTTTCAGGGGGGAAAAAGTGCGTGTTATACGCCGATAAATACGGTAAGTGGTAAACCTGTTACTTGCCTGAACTCCTACAGAAATCCCATTTCTGATTATTTTTCCACTCCAGCTTTATACTTTTTTCCTGGAAAAGTAGGCACACCTAATGAAGCATTACAATGCCTTCTATTTTCAATTTGTAAGAATATCTATCGGTGTCACATGTGCCAGATCCTAATTTTTTATTTATTTAAAAAAATTAAATTAATTTTAAATTTAATTTTAAATTACTTTGGTCAGGTTTTGTGTTATTCAGTATTTGGAACTGTTAAAGCATTCTGGTTGTTTTTCTTTTCTGTTGAACTGTAGTTAACCCAGTATAGTTAGACAGAAAATCTGGCAGACAATGGTTCTGTTACAATTCAAATAATACATTTTCCTATTTTGTGTATCTCCAGGTTTTCCTGCAGACCTCTTCAACCATTCACTATTAAATATATTACCATATTTAGGACATCTGTAGTATCACCAAGGGTTCTTTCTTCATTTTCATCTGAATCATTGTCTGTTGAGTTGTCCTCTGTATCACTGTTCTTCTCTTTCTTATCTCCTTTAAAACAAAATATATAATACACTTTGACTCTTTGGGGAGAAAAATAGTTTGCCCTCTTAAAGTTAATATAATGGGAGAAACTTTTTGTCTCAATACGCAAATGAAGAGAGACAAATACAAAAATAAAATACAATGAAACTTACTTTCATAAACTTTGATGTGGTAGTAGAAATTACTACTATCATGCAAACAATATAAATCCGAGATCGATATTCTCTCGCTAGACACATTTGCTAGACTCACTCCCATCTTAACCTGGGGAATCAGGTCTCCCTGGTCTTCAAGAATGTCATAAGAATAGGGGCCCTCCAGTTCTAAGGGCCAGGGGAAGCTATGGAGAAGGAATGCCTCCAAGGTCGCACCAGATGTCAATATGGTGACTTGAAGTGCTCATTCTTTCTGACCTAATGATGCTTTGGTAGAGGTTGTCCCACAAAGAATCTGACACATTAGTTCATAAGTCAGTTCTGTTTTATTTGACAACTTTTCTTGCCAGAGTTATTAAATGAATTAGTGCAGTTGTTAAATTAGTAATACAGTTGTTAAGTGAATCTGGCTTCTTCATTGTCTTTGCCTGTCAGAGGGTCATAGAACATGATCACATGACTATGGGACATTGCAACTATCATAAATACATGCCATTTCGAAGCATCTTAAGTTTGGATCACGTGACCATGGGGAAGCTGCAATGGTCATAAGCAGGGGTGGGATTCAATCAGTTCAGCCCTGTTCAGCTGAACTGGATGTTAAATTTATATCTGGTTCACCGAACTGGTAGTTGAACCGACCAGCTGACCTCTCCCACCCCTCCCAGGAATCCCCACGCAGCCCATTTTGGATGCAGGTAAGTGCAGGTTCTGCACGGAGGCTCTGGAGGGCAAAAAATGGGCCGAACTGGAAGTTCTGGAAGTCCAGAAATGGGCCTGTTTCTGACTTTTGGAGGCCCTCCGGAGCCCAGGGGAGGCCACTTTCGCTCTCCCAGAGGCCCAAGGGAAGCCTCCAGACTCTGGGAAAGATGAAAAATGGCCCTCCCGAAAGTTCTGATAGGCTACACCCACCATGGCCACGCCCACCCAGCAACCGAGCAGAGAACCGGTTGGTGGAATTTTTGAATCCCACCCCTGTCTCATAAGTGTGAAAAACAGTCATAAGTCATTTTTTTCAGGGCTGTTGTAATTTTGAACGAAAGGTTGTAAGCCAAGGAGTACATGTAAACAAAACATAGTTTACCTGTTTCATGATCCATAATAGATTCAGATTCTTTATTACTATCAGTTCTGCCAAGCGGAAGAGTACTGCTGATGTCACTTGATGCAAGTTTTAAGGAAGTTTTCCCCAATGGGGGAAGCATTCGCACCAATCGACTGCATTGTTCTGGCGATTTTTCCTTCTGAAAGAGTTAGAAGAAAGCAAATCAGCATTTATATTAGATTTTTAAAGAATAATATACAGAATATATTAAATTAAAGATACTATCCACATTTCAGATTTTGGAACAGGCTCTGTGAATCAAAACTATTTAATTCTCTTAGAATTTTGGTTGAAAATTTTAAATTATCTGAGCCAGAATTAATTTACTTAATTAAACCTTAACTTAACAAGTTCATAGTATGCTGGAGTACAAATTCAAACTTATAAATTAGAAATAATGTAACCTTTATTTATTTAGAGAAAGACAAAAAGAAAATCATTTGAAAGTCATTGATTTACTTTTATACTGCCCAGGACTGCCCTATCAGAGAGATGGGTAGCATATAAATTTAATAAACAAATAAATATCCCACTTCCTTTCATTAATTTCAATTATGGTTTCCTATCTCATATTTTATATACATTCCTTGAAAGTATTACAGACTTATTCTTTCCTCCAATTCCAAAAATTACAATAAAAAATTCATCATGAAGATAAAACATTTCAAGAAAAAAGTTCCAAAAATTAAAGAAATCTCTTAAACTTTTAAATCTTTTTCAAACAGAATTTTTAATAGGCAGCTTGGAACAGTTATAGTGTACCTTCTCTCTCCGTCGCACACGTGCTGAAAATGTTTGCTGAAAGGTGTCTGCATCTCCTCCCATTTCAGTGACTTTAACTGATAAACTGTGCTCATTTTCTTCTAGCTCATGAATGTTATCAGATATTTTAGGCCTTGGGGTGGCAAAAACCAGCATATGACAGCCACCACAAGCAGCCTATAATATGAACATAGTAGACTGTATTATTAGAAGTGGTACATGCAGGTAGATAACCCTGAACAGAAAATATTTTCCTGAGTTTAGATTATTATTAAATAATAATCTAATAATTCAGACTTTTTAATATCTCAAAAACACATAATGCAAAATTACCAAAAATATTTTTTCTGGCTACAGGAAATAACAAGTCTAAAGATAGTACCTCAACCTGAAATATTTTTATTAGGGATAACCAAATGAAAGAGAATACAAAAGAGAATGAATGCCTAATGATACATATCTTAACAGTGGCTAGGATATTATATGCTCAAATTTGGAAATTAGATAGTACACCCACAGACAATATGATTATAAAAAAAGTAATGGATTGCACAGAAATGAACAAATTCACAATGGAATTGCGGGAGAGGGAGGATAAAGAATTCTATATGGTCTGAGAAAAATGGTATGTCTGGTTAGAAAATAGAAAGAAAATAGACTTCCGGGGTGACGTCATGATGTCTCAGACATAGGAATGGCGGCTCCACTCTGAATGTCCAATTTTTCCATATCCGGATGCCCGATGAAGCGACAGAAGACCCTGGAGAGGTCTGTGATAGAGAGGGGAAGCTCCGGGTGTAGCAGGTGGAGGCACGATCCCCTGTTCCTATAAGAGAAACCCCTTGAAAATGGCATGGAAGAGACCAGCCCTACGGTCGGATCTGGAGGCGTGACAGCCCAAGAAATGGTGAAGGAAATAAAGAGTGAGGCAACAGAGGCAAACAGTGAGAATTGACGGAGAGAGAAAACTAATCCTCAGAGATTAAACGACCTGGAGAGAGCGGCTGACAAATGAGTTTCCGGTGAGGGGAATTTGGTGATCTTGTGGTGGGAGTGGAAGATTGACGACCAACCACAGCGAATGTCTGCCAGAGTGAGAGAAGTGACTAGAGACTAAGCTTGAGCTTGGAATTACTTTAAAACTACCTAAGATAAACAATTTGATTATTTGACTGACTATTTTGAGGAGACTGGCGAGGCCTGTTTAAACAGATCGAAAGGAGACGATTTATAAAGAGAATGGACAAAAAGTGCTAAAGGAGAGTTAAAGAAATTCGGCTAGTATAGTGACTGTGCAGTGACTGTACATATTAGAAGGTAGAGGACAGTTTGTAACAAGAAGAGCTGATGGTAAAAGTATAAAGAACATTAAGTGCTTCAAATTTTTCTAAGGACATTTGGGCTTCTCAAATTAAAAGAATAAATATAAAAACTTTGAAAAGAAAGAATAATTGTGTAAGATCTGACTATACAACTACAGGGTAAAAAGAAATAAGAGGTATTGTAAAATTGATATTTACAATGTATGATATATATTGATTGATAAATTGATAATTATTTTTTGCTTTATCTTTTTTCTATATGAACTTATAAACTTATATTATTGAATTAATTAGATTAATTACAATAAGATTGGGAACAAGGTTATTACCTATTATCGGAAACTGTGCTGATATTATTTATTATAATTCCATAAAGTTTATAAATTATATTATATTTACTTATAGATATTAATTACTAATTAACTGGTATTCTCTATACTTATTCATTACAAACCACAAATTATTTATACATACATACATACATACATACATACATACATACATATATTCTTTTTTTTTTTTTTTTTAAAAAAGTTTTATTGATTTTAACAACAAATAAAAACACATAAAACACAAAACATAACATAAGAACATCATCATTCTTCATAAATTTACAGACAGTGTATCGGTTGGTTTATCACTTCTTTTTGTGCATCTATTTCATAGTCATCATAATAATTATATTACATAATAGCTCATATTATCAATCAATAATTATATATCCTAATATCCTTATTAAACAATCATTTGACTATAATTTAACTAATTCATGCTTAAGCGAGATAACTATAATTTAGTTAATTTATAACAAATCGTAAAATCATACCAAATCTATCTTAATATAATATTCTAAAAATATTATCAAAACCAAAATATATATATATTCTATTATTATATTGTTTTATCTAACCATTGATAAAAAAGATCCCAAACTTCATAGAATTGTTTATCTTCTTGTTCTCTAATTTCAAATGTCAATCTACTCATTTCAGCACATTCCAATATTTTCTTAATAATTTCTTCCTCTAATGGTATTTTCTCACTCTTCCAATTTCTAGCAAATACAATCCTAGCCGCTGTTAACACATTTACAATCAAATACTTTAAGTTTTTATTAAATGTATCAGGTAAGATTCCCAATAGAAAAATCTCTGGTTTCAAATCTATATGTTTTTTTGTCATTTCTTCCAACCATATGCGAATTCTAGTCCAGTATTTCCTGGCCTCCTCGCAAGTCCACCACATATGGTAATATGAGCCAGGGATCTGATGACATTTCCAACACTTTTCGGATTTATTCTTGAACATTCTTGCTATTCTTGTCGGGGGAAAATGCCACCTGTAAAACATCTTATACAAATTTTCTTTATATGCTACTGACATTGTCATTTTATAATTTTGAGACCACAATTTTTGCCATTTTTCTAAATCAATCCCATATCCAAAGTTCTTCCCCCAAACAATCATTGTTTCTTTGACTTGTTCTTCCTCTAATTTAATTTCCAACAAATAACTATATAGTTTTTTAATCACTTTTTCATCAGCACCTGTCAAAATCCCATCTAAATCAGTCAATTTATCATAGAATCCTTCTGTTTTAGAATCTTTAAGATACCTTGAGTGTATTTGCGCATATGAAAACCAATTCATCTTTATATCTTGTTCTTCTAGCTTTTGCATCGTTTTAAGTTCACCCTTTTCATCCAGTATTTCCCCATATCTAACTGTTTGTTCCTTCTTATAAATTATGGGATAGGAAAAAGCTTCAATAGTTGATAACCAAACTGGAATTTTCAAATAACATTGTTTCTTAATTTTCTCCCAATTCAACCATAACGATTCCCGTATATAGTGCCTTCTGAAATAACCCTGCGATTTAGTTCCCTTATACCATAAAAAAGCATGCCAACCCAATAATAAATCATGTCCTTCCAGTGCCAGTAATCTAGACTTTCTTAACGTTATCCATTCTTTAACCCACATTAAATTTGCAGCTTGATAATACAACTCCCAACTAGGAAGGCCAAATCCTCCTCCAATTCTAGCATCCTGTAAAAGCTCTAGTTTTATTCTCGCTTTCTTACCCTGTCATATATACTTCAACACCATTTCATTTAATTCATCAAAATAGTCTTTACCAAGCCTAATTGGTATTGTTTGAAACAAATATAAAATTCTGGGTAAAATATTCATTTTAATTGTTGAGATTCTACCTATCAAAGATAATTGTAGATTTCCCCATTTTTTCAAGTCAGATGCTATCTGCTGTTTAAGTTTAATATAATTATTCTCTTTCAGTGTAGTACATCTTGACGTCAAAATTATCCCCAAGTATTTAACTTTATTCGTAACTTGAATTTTCAATAAGTCTGCCAACTCTTCTCTTTGCCTTAATAACATATTTTTTGTCAGAATCTTTGTTTTGTCTTTATTTATTTTCAAGCCAGCCATCTCACCATACGTCTCTATCTTTTCCAGTAGTTTTAAAGCTGTCTCTAGAGGATCTTCCAGAATAAAGACCAAATCGTCCGCAAAGGCTTGCAATTTAAATTCCTCCTTTTTAACTTTCATTCCTTTTATATTTGTATCCTCTCTAATATTTCTATTTAATACTTCCAAAGTCAATACAAATAACAAAGGGGATAGTGGACATCCTTGTCTTGTGCCTTTTTTAATATTGATAGAGTCTGTAAATTCTCCATCTATCATCACTTTTGCTGTTTGCTTATAATATATAGCTTCTATTGCTTGAATAAATTTTCTAGCAAAACCCATCTGTTCCAATAATAATAACATAAATCTCCAATTCACGTTATCAAATGCCTTTTGAGCATCTAAAAATATCAAAGCCATTTGCTTTTCAGGGTGTGCCTCATAATATTCCAAAGTGTCCAAAATTACTCTCATGTTGTCTTTAATTTGTCTCTTTGGTAGAAATCCATTCTGATCAGAATGAATAAAATTATTTAAGTATTTTTTAAGCCTTTCTGCCAAAATTGAAGCAAAGATTTTATAATCTGCATTCAATAAAGAAATAGGTCTATAATTCTTAATTTGTGATGGGTCAGTCCCTTCTTTTGGAATAAGCGTAATATAAGCTTCTGACCATGTTTTAGGTATTTTCTTATTTATCATAACTTCATTCATAATTTCTAACATTGAAATGCTCAGTGATTCTTGTAATGTTTTATAAAATTCTGCCGGGAAACCATCTGGTCCTGGTGCTTTCCCGTTATTCTGTCTATTAAGTGCTTCAGTTAATTCCATCATTGTTATAGGATTTTCCAACATTTTCCCAGTTTCATCAGATATCTTGGGTAGGTTGGCATTTTGTAAATACTGTTTAATTTTCCCCTCATCAAAATCCTCCTGCTTATATAATTGCGCATAAAAATCTCGAATAATTCTCTTTTTCTCCTTATTACCATGACAGACTAGACCCTGTTCATCCATTAACTGTGGTATTCTCCTTGATTCTTTCTCTTTTCTCAGTTTGTATGCTAACCATCTACCTGGCCTGTTTGCATCCTCAAAATAGTTCTGTTTAGCACTTCTAATTTTTTGCGCCAGTTCTTCTTTCTCTGTTTGATACATATATTCTTAATGTATATACATACTGTATATATATACGGTATATACATATATAGATAGATAGATAGATAGATAGATAGATAGATAGATAGATAGATAGATAGA